CAGAATGGTGAGGTCTAAACAGCAAGCAGTCTCTGCTGCCAGTTCAGAGGCCTCCCAGCATGGCAGTGGGAGGCTTTTTGGTGGTGGTGGCTGAACCCTGGGTTACTGCATTCACTCCATAAGACGCATGTACTTTCCCTCCCACCTTTTTGGAGAGAAAAAGTGCGTCTTATGGAGCGAAAAATACGGTAAATCCTGCCTAGCATGCCTGGAGCTATAAGTGCAGAGTCTTGGGGTAGCAATTCCAAAACATCCATGGTTTCATCTAGCAATATAATTATAAACCAGTAATAATGTGATTCAGAGATGTTATTGACTGTAAAGCTACACTGCCTGATAAAGTTAGAGGGATGTTTATAGTTTTAATTATATATTTCTTTTTTAATCATCTGAAGTTTAATAAAAAAACTTTCCACTAAGTGAATCTCTGATTTTCTTGTATCCTACACTAAATTACATTTTTAACAATGTAATAAAAAGTTTAATATAATGAGCATATTAATTCCCTGGAAACTTGATATAGAAGAGCCAGTGTAAACATTTCCCTTAACAGAAATTCATCTCCCCGCAAAGTTACTACACAAGTGAACAGCTCCCACTAAAATGTACACTGGCAATCTCTGGAATACATTTCTGAATGTAACATATATGTATCTACACAAAATACCTAGTTTGCAATTATCTGTACATGCAAAAAGCAATTAGCTAGCTAAATCAAAACTATTCACTTGGTTGCTTCTGGATTTAAAAAGTCAGATAGTATCAGATGCAACCTGTTGGGCTATGAAAAGTATTTCATTTTTTAAAATTTCTTTATTACATTTATAAATTGCCTTTCCTCCAATAAACCCAAGGCAGCATAACTGTCTCTTGCACATACCATCCCTACTTATCCCCACTGTGATGTAAGTAACTGAGAATAAAACAGTTTTCCATCAAAAATTTTAACACCATCCTAGGCAAACAAAAAGATAGCCATGCCTACAATTGTGGCATTTCAGGGTTCCCTGTATTCACACGGCAGTAAGACATTAAACTGAGGACAATATCCCTGTTGCTGCGTTTCTGTGCCAAAGAAAGTTCTAAAGTGTCCAAGGGCATGTGGAGACACTGAGTGAACCTAGTTTCTGGTCTGTTGACCCAACATCTGCAACAAGCAAAGGCTAACCTCAAAACAAGAAAGAGCTGCTGCTAAATAAGCCCTACGTGTTGCAGCAGAGTAAGTGTTAATCTGTAGTGATGTACAGAAGTGAGACCTGGACCATAAGGAAAGCTGACCGCCGAAGAATTGATGTTTTTGAATTGTGGTGTTGGAGGAGGCTCTTGAGAGTCCCACGGACTGCAAGGAGAACAAACCTATCCATTCTGAAAGAAATCAACCCTGAGTGCTCACTGGAAGGACAGATCCTGAAGTTGAGGCTCCAATACTTTGGCCATCTCATGAGAAAAGAAGACTCCCTGGAAAAGACCCTGATGTTAGGAAAGTGTGAAAGCAAGAGGAGAAGGGGACGACAGAGGATGAGATGGTTGGACAGTGTCTGCGAAGCAACCAACATGAATTTGACACAACTCCAGGAGGCAGCGGAAGACAGGAGGGTCTGGCGTACTGTGGTCCATGGGGTCACGAAGAGTCAGACATGACTAAACAACAACAACAGATGTTAAGGGAACCACTGTGTCCCATTTGTGCTTCCACATATCTTGGGGAAGGGGGAATTGCTTGGCAATCTGTCATTCACTCAGGATGTATCACTGATTTTTTTTCCCAATAAGTTGAGAGATTTTTATTTCCCAAGTCTTTTCACAGATTGTATGATCAAGAGAAGCGGCTAATATACTGTATAAATCAGGTGAATCTCTGTAATGTATCTAGGTTCCCTAAAATAACATAGCATATAGTACAACATTTGAAAATTTGCAATGCTCTTCTTTTCAAATGAAATAAAAACACCCTATTAGCACAGTGGTAGGATGATGTTCTGGCAGCCAGATCACTAACAGGTTCCATTATGGATTGCTTCAGCAGGTCACTGTGTTCTTTTTTCTTAAAACGGACTTTCCCAAGTTCTGCTTTATGAAGCTGAGAAACTTGGCCTCTATTTTACCAACAGAAATTGTTCCAAATTTCCCTATCACACCTATATTTCTGTTATTTTGTGTTTATCTTACATTGCTCAGGAGACATGAATGAATTGTTATCTTGACATAGGTAACTAGACATATTGTTACAGCAAGACTATTGCTATTGGTGTATTTATCTCATAATCAGCAATTTCTTTACCAATGATGATGTTGTTCAATTTGTTAAAGCCTTTTTCAGTGTCTTCTTGCAGCACATTCTGAATCTGATGGGCAGCCAAGTCAAACAAATCCAGGTAATCTTCCACTGGGTAGCGGTCATGAAATCCATCTCTCAGACGAATTATTCCTGAAAACAGCAATGAAAAAGAAAAGCCTGTCTCTTTAAAAACTCAACAGCTATGCTGAAATAGGTTTTAGGACACCAGAAGACCTTGTTCAAATAATACAGTAATAATGACCGCAGTATGTTGATTAAGAACATAAATGAAAGGCCTCAGGGAAATTCATCAAGGGAAAATCAGTTTAATTGACAAGGCTATCATCATGTGTTACCATGTACATGTCTGTATGAATGGTGATGTAAATAACTATTTGTTTCACATGAAAATATAAACTTTTTTTGGCATTGGCATACACTGGACCACGTAGCATACAGCACACAGCATGACCTGTGCCCTAACTGTGACAGTAGCCCAACTGCTGCAGCCCCGCCTTCCTGCTCACCCAGCCTCTCTGGCAAGGGGATGTGAGGATGAATGTGGCCGGGCGAGCAGGAGATGGGAATGTGGCATCTGGGCTACAAGTAGTCCAGTGGGTTCTGGGGGTGGGTGGGTAGTAATTGGGCCAGCCACCTATGCCAGCAGGCCATGTTTCAGATTGGATACTGTAAAAGCTACTATTAGGCCCATAGCTCTGGGATCCTTCAAGTAGCATGGCAACTCTCCATGCTCACTGGAAATTCTTGGATTTGTAGTCTCTCACCAATTTTTTTTTCCAAGTTTTGCTTTGGATTGATTTGTCTCCACTCCCTTCTTTTTACAAGACAGTGCAAGGATGAGCCTGAGGAACTGATTTATGCTGAAAATGCTGAGGAACATGGTGGTGCTTGAAGTATGGCAATGATGTCATCAATAGGGCACAAAGTGGTTTAGAGGCCCCTAGATACACAGGGTGAGGCATAGCCATCTCAAGCTGAATCAAGACAGAGCATGACTTGGACTGTAATTCCCAGTCTCAGAGCATGCCTTGTCACATCAGAACGACAATTCAATAGCTACTTTGCAGATAAATGCAAACTTTCAAGATAAGGCCATGAAGGGCTGGCAGACATTTGGCACTCCAGATGTTTTGGGCTACAGCTTCCAGAATCTCTAGCCTCTACTGCCAATTGTGGGGATTGTGCTCCAAAACATCTGGAATGCCAAAGGTTTACCGGCCCTAGTTGTATGATTGCTTCCTACTACAAAAGAAATAAAATTCTCAAAAAAGTAGGAGTTAACATGATAACATAAGAGCAACTGAATATAAACATACAGAGGTGCAGATGCAAGATTTATGTTTTACACCAGGTATCTCAATGCATCTATAACTAAGTATAAATACTGCAGTAAGTGAGCTGTACTCTGATATTAATCTGTGTTCCATTTACAGCACACAATTCTGTATTATACAACCATTTTGCAACTTCTCGGCAGCCTCCCCATCTCTTCCATCACTATCAGTTTGGACACAAACTGATCCCTCCAGTAGCTTTCAGTGGAGCATAGATTTCTTCTAACGCAAGGCAGAAGAGAATATCAACTCAGTTTTTTCTGGAAGCAGATGGTGCTGTCTGTTGTGAGCCCAAAAGAGAGTGCACATGGTCTTCAGACCTCTATGCCATTCTATAGGAAGCTGTTGCTTGGTTCTATAAAAGGCATACACCTAAAATTGCACAATCTGAAGTATTTTAAATATGCTGCGCTGGTATAAATATCCTACTGTCTGTGAACAGAAAATGAGGGCTACCATCTATATCACAGATCTTTGTTTAAGTATGTCTTATTATCCTCCAGGATAAAACATGGATAAAACTGGTTTGTGTAGATCCTTACATATTGATACTAATGGGTGGCCATGCCCATATTCCAGGCCATAGCATATAGCATGTTCCCATGCAACTTCTCAGCAAGTTACTGGTCAAGCTTAGACTTCCTCAATCTCACATATGCATCTATAAGGCATCAATTCTTTGGATCTGAATCAAGCCAGGGTAATGCATACCACCAAAAATTTGTACTGTATTCACATGAATTCAGAATTTCATATTTGTGGAGCAAAGCTCAGAACTCCAGCACATACAAGAAACACATAATGTACTTAACGTACAAATACATAAAGAAATAACACATCTAACTCAAATCCTAATGAAGTTAGTTCAGCTAAGTCTTCTGAGTGTTGCTCCTCAGAAAAAGAAGCCAGCTGCACTGAATTAGAGCAGATCAGTCTCCTTTAGTTGACTCACGATTAGACAGCAGTACTACAAATGAAATGAGTCAGAAAACTTGAGCTTTCTATTTAGACCTAATAGCCAAAACATTAAAGCCAGAGGGACTCAGCTATCTCTCTGCCTCTATCAGCATACTGAGTAGAAACAGACAGAGATACCAGCACATTAGGAAGGAAGATAAGCAAGTTCAATCCCTAACCTGTCTCGCGAGCCCAACACTCAATACATTTGCAACTACTACAAAATTTCAAGACTTTAAGGCCTGTCCATACTGAAAGGAAATAATAAGAACTTCTTTCCTAGTCTCCAAATATTCTATGGAATATCATCTGTAGAAAGATAGCCAGGACAGTGTCAACGCCTGGAATCCTTAGGCAGCTGAGTCAGACTGCCAGGTGCTGACACCGGACCTAGTTTTAGACAACTATTGTAATTGCTTCCAACACTTGTTCCTGCCAAACTGGCACTCAGGCAAGACAGAAATAAGATACTGTTGTGGTCATGTCCTTGAATGAGATCACTAGCAGATGAAAACTAGCACAAACTCTGCAGGTCTTTCGAACTGGCCCAAAACAGACTGTGGAGCCAAGCTCCATGAGTTAGAGCTATCTGGCCAGACTAATCGAGTATCTCTGTCATATCAGTTATGGATACAGGCCCAGACACTATAAGTGTATATGAGAAATTAGTTGGTTTCTGTTTGTTTGCTAATTTATTTTTTTAAATCAGCCACCAATGTATAAGACAACCTATTATCACATTCCAGGAGTGCTGTTTTCTCAGGTTTTTCTCAGAAACTTTGTCGAAGCCTTTTGAAAGTCCATGTCCAAATGCACAACATCTACTGGATCAACTGTATCCATATATTTTTTGGCACAGTGAGGGATATAAACAGAAGGAGCCTAAATATCCATTAGTGGTTTCTCTGCTGGGGCTGTTCCCACCACTACCAAAGATAACCAATAGAGGGATATTCACTGGTAGAGGCATATCAAGAATCCTATCAAGTCTGGCTATGATCTTGGGCACTCAAATGGAACTGTGTCAGATAAAAATATGTAAAGTATGTAATTATTTACAGACAGTTTCAATATAATCACATTCCAATTATTATTTTGAACATGTTTATAAGTAATGCAAATGTGCTGGGCAATTTTGGGCAAGCCATTATTTTTCAGCTTAGCCTATGTTGCAGCCTTGTTTTACATAATCAGAAGAACGTACACCACTTTGAACTTCTTGGAGAAATAGTAGGCAGTAAACGTAACTTTAAAATTGGGGCAAAGCACCTGTTGTCCACGAGGTACTAGTCTGTTATGAGGTGCTGTACGAAAATTTGTCACAGTGTTTGAACAGACACTTCTTCCTAAGTTAAAGTAGTATAATGAAAGAGTTATATAAAAGGCTCCTTTGTATGGATAACCTTCTCTATTCAAAGCAATAAATAAACAACACTAATCATTTTAGAGCCTGCTAGGCAGTTTCCTGACTGGCTAGATAGCTCAGTGATTTGGTTACCTAGCTGTGGAATCAGGGGTCTGATTCCTCACTGTGTCTTCTAGAAGAGTCAGCTTATATAGTGTTGGTCAGCTGCAGAATCCCACAGCCCTGCAGAAGAAGCAAATGGTAAACCATTTCTGAGTATTCTCTACCTAGAAAACCCAGGAAAGGACTGCCATTAGTTGTAATTGACTTGATATGATGTAATTACTAATTAGGATGTTTTCTGCAAGTCTAGTTGATGGTTGCTCCGGCTTTATTAGTATTACTATACATTTTAACATACAGTACAGTTTTAAGAGGTTTAATGGCATTGTTCTCCGCACAGCTTTGAAAGCCTTAGCTGAAAGACAGTGCATTTTCATAAATAAACCAATTCTAAGGCTTTTTATTACCAGCTTTTTTTGCAGTGAACCAAAAAAACCTTCATAGCAATGAACTTGGCAGGAAAGTCTTGGAAGGTTATGAATCAACATGCACACATTTTCACGGATAATGACCAGCTGGTGATCTTCTCCAATTAAGACTGTTAATTTAGAGGATGTTGTAGAATGTAAAAATTCAGCCCTGTGTACATCCCAGAAAATGTCCAACAGATCAAGAAAACAGATATCTTGATTTCCTCATTTTCTGAGGACTTGGAGACTTCATATCCAAAGATATACAGCCTCCTAAGGAAGGCTAAACATTCATTTCATCAAATACAAATCTGAAATGTCAAGCAGACATTTTACTCACCAAACCGTTTCCTTGTCCACCAATGAGGCTCTTTAATTGCTGAGAATCTCACATCAGGATGTAACCTGAGTCTGTCATAAAGGTCTGTTGTTCCACACTTTGGCTGTCCTATGATGTAAAAATGTGGAAGACAGCGCAGTCGATAGTGCTTGTCTTTGTAATGATACAAATGATTCCAGAATACCTTTCGGAGGTAATCAAATATTGTTCGAAAACGTTTGGAATACAACGCATAAGAATTTGTAGCGTAAGGATTTCTGGTAGTGTTTCCTTTGTATTCTTCATACCAACAAGGATTCTTGCTGTTTGGAAGAAACTTGTTAGGAATTACTGAGAACATCTGTTAACACAAAAAAATAAAACCTCTAATTAAACCAGTAAGTCAACACTACAATTGCATTTCCAGTAATAATTCTAATGTATTTTCACATTTCAATAATTTTGATGCTTAGCTGGTGCAGAGATACAGGACCAGGAAAATACGCAGACAATGAAGAGGGACATATTTGTATTAGTTCAGCTTTTAAACCCAAATATAATTATCTAACAGGAATCCTACAATTACACAATGTTTCAGGAAAGAACTATATTTTCATATATTCTTAAAGTAAATGTACTTTTTAAAAAATCTATACAATCATGCACAGCTCTGTAAACTCTTCTGCATGGGAATTACTCTACAAAGAGGTTATAATATTTACAGCCATGGCTAGCTTCCCACACAGTCATGAGCATCCATTCATTCTCTACAATAGATACCACCACCTCTCCTGACAGCTTACTGGATAATAAGAGTAGACTATGTCTAGATGGGCGGCATATAAATGCAATAAATAAATAAATAAATAAAATAATAATCCCTTTGCCTCAAAGAGGAATCTTTGTGTGCTCAAATATCACAACTGCAGCAACAATCTCTCTGTCTTGTATACCTACTAAGTTACAAGAAAATATAGACTGATCAACCAGTTTCAATTCATACTTCCATTTTTATTACTCTTTATGTACACGATCAACAGAACTCAAAAGCTACTTTTTCTCAGAGCCAAATCTGACTAATAATGGTGTACATTATCACATGTGTCTTATAAAATTCAAGAATGTGGAAGATCACCTGATGTTAATTCTTGTGTACTCTAGCCAGTATACTTAATGGTTACGCAACGTGTTCTCTGCTCATTCTATTTCCCCCCCCCATCAAACAGTCAGATTGAATAGCAATTTCCTCATATACTAGGGCAATCCAGTGCACTGATATCATTAAGGATCCATCAATGGAACATACAGTAGATCCATGGAATTTAGTGTAACTGTTAACAAGACTGATTCAATTCAGTCAGCCTCTGCTGCTAAAACTAGCAATCAGAATAAGCTCATACGTCACTGCTCTAAGATACCTTAGATCCCCATGTCCAGATATTTTAAGAGAGCCAGTAGGCATCAAAAGGGTATTGCACAGACTACAATACATCTGCTTAAGCTGACATATTGGTAGAAAGAGCAAAAGGGCATTGAAGGAACTTCCAAAATTACTACTGCTCTTACTAACAGTATTTACTGAACAATACCTGGAATCAGCATAAAGAAAAAAGGCAACAAAACAACTTATTGCCAAAAAGGTAATGATCAATTGTTAAATGGCAATGTTCAACTAAAATAAGATATATCTCCATTGGGTCTAGTCACTAACTATCAGTATTCTGACTTAAGATGTAGTCATTGGAAAGAAATAAAACAAAAAAGTGAAGGCCACTGTTTCCTAACAAGCAAATATGTCTTTATCTTTTCTACTCACATGCATTTCTTGTTTCTTCAGCTCTTCTATATCTGGAAGATGTCTGGTTACAAACTCTATGTTTTCAGTAATGGTGTCAATAACTGCTTTAATGCTTGGATAATCCTTTGCATATGAAATATTCATTTTAGATGTTTGGTAATGGTCGTTCATGTCACAGATGCTCTCATTGTCCATTACGTTTGAATTGCTGGTAAAAGTACCATAATGGAGTGCTGGCTGCATCAGCAGGAGGCCATGTTTAGCTCCAGTCAGTACATATGATGCCATCACAAGCATCATTATCAATAACCCAAACATTAAGCTGCATAACTTCCCTTTCTTCAGACAAAACAGTCCAGTCCAGCTTTCATTGTGATCAGTCCTTACTTCCAAAACTGCAAGCAAGTTCATCTGTTTGCTATCCACGTGCAACAGTACTTTACTCTTCCTCGGCATAGAGGATATTTTTGGCTACTGTGACTTGGACTCCAACACCTGAAACATTGTTTGTGCAAGTCATTTGGTAACAATGTTATGCAACAATGAATGCAATGACTCATATTAGTACAATTAAAATATTGGTTTAAGGAGCCATTTACAGCAGTCAGGTAGAAGGGTTAAATGGATGGAAGTCAATTTTTCCCAGCCATCTAAAATCTTTATGTAATCAGTTGATGATAACAAAATTTTAGAAGAAGAAAAAATCAGACTAACCATATTAGGGACCTACTGAAACAAATATGGCAATATCTTAGAGGCACATGATACTTACTGAATTTGGATCGCGGTGGGGAGAATTTTAAAAAACCCTAAAGCTCAGGTTTTTCCCATTGAACAAAATGAAGAAAATAGGATTTCACTGTTCTGAGTGAAAAAAAACAAGAAACAAAACGAGTTCATTGTCCTTGAATTTCATCAAAATTCAAACAAATTTAGGCATGTGAGAAAATGGCATTGAGGTTTAATTGTGTTCCTTTAAAATGCAGATTCCAAGATGGACGAATTCTTTGGAAGGCTTCATCTTGATAACATCGCTTTGGAAGATTCTGTTGAATAAACTGAAAGAAAACAGGCAAAGAAGGTAGATTAAGAAATTGATATAGAAGTTATGGATAAATTAAGCAAGAGCCTACCAATTTAATGAAACTTAAACATTTGTTAACCCATCTTTGTTAAGGCAAGGAGGAAACCAAAATAGGGACCTACTGAAACAAATATGGCAATATCTTAGAGGCACATGATACTTACTGAATTTGGATCGCGGTGGGGAGAATTTTAAAAAACCCTAAAGCTCAGGTTTTTCCCATTGAACAAAATGAAGAAAATAGGATTTCACTGTTCTGAGTGAAAAAAAACAAGAAACAAAACGAGTTCATTGTCCTTGAATTTCATCAAAATTCAAACAAATTTAGGCATGTGAGAAAATGGCATTGAGGTTTAATTGTGTTCCTTTAAAATGCAGATTCCAAGATGGACGAATTCTTTGGAAGGCTTCATCTTGATAACATCGCTTTGGAAGATTCTGTTGAATAAACTGAAAGAAAACAGGCAAAGAAGGTAGATTAAGAAATTGATATAGAAGTTATGGATAAATTAAGCAAGAGCCTACCAATTTAATGAAACTTAAACATTTGTTAACCCATCTTTGTTAAGGCAAGGAGGAAAGAAATTGTGAGTTAGAGAAAGAATATAAGAACGCTTTGATAATATGAGCCATCTTGGATGGACTGCTTGAAGGCCTGTACTTGCTCAAATATTGATGTACAGTACTCTTCTGGTAAATGGGTTCACAATTGTCTTTAACTTCTAAGGATAATTTTTTAAAAACAGCTAAATGTATTTGGGGAATCATTTGGTTTGAAATGGGCTCTGATCATAAACTGAAAGGGTTTTAGTATGCTTTTATCTGTTTTATCTTCTGCAAATGACTACCTTATTATCAGATATCTGAGGGACCACTGTGATTATGGGGTGAGGGGTGGGATATAAATATTTGAAGTTAAGATACATAGAGACAATGAGGGAGAAAAGAAATGGGTGTGGGTCTCCCAACTGGTAAGCTTATGCTAGGGGATTCTTCTAGGACTCTGGTGCAAACTGCAGGAAGTACAACTGAGTAACTATCTGGGCCAAGATTATATAATAGGCCATTTTTTGTGAACTGCTAAGTCTATAGGACAAGAAAGTAGTTCAGGAACATAAAAGCATAAGTGGTCTATGTGAAGATTATACAAACAAATTCACAGTGAAAACAAAGTAGTACCATAGCGGGAGTGTTTAAGCAAAACCTAACAAATGTGTGTGTCCAGAAGTAAAAGTAATTAAGGATTCATGAACTGGCTATTCTTAAAAATATTAAGCTCACAGATATATGGGTATGTGGTAGTTTAAAGTTTATTGTTGGTATAATTAGCTTCTATTTTTTGGTACTTGCTTGAGCATACATATCACTGATTTTAACAGCAGGGGGGAAATTAGTAGCCATTTTGTAAAATATAAATACCTCAAGGGAAGCATTAACTTAATGTCCACTCTTTTCATGATCAATAAGACGCATTCATTCTCCCCTTGAAATACATTATATGACTGTAGATAAAACCTAAGAAAGACATAATATTTTTCAAGACGAGATAGGAATAAGGCTTTATCAGAGTACTGAGTAGTACATTATCTTGTCTAATGTGGTATGCCAGAGGAAACATAAGCGCTTTCAGGGATACACAATTACTCCATTTCCTCTCACCTTGCCCTGGCCGCATCCGCTGTGACAAAACCAAGAAATTCTACTGTGTTCATACAGCATAGATTTGGGGTTAGAATTTCAACAAATTATGGCTGCAATCTTAAAGACCAGAAACCTTAACAACAGAACACTCTAACAAAGGAGGTGACAATGTTTCTAAAGTCCCTCTTGCAGGGTGGATAGAAGTGCAAAGGAAGCTATTTATCAGATCTCCCTTCCTCCACAGGACTTTTATTTTACTTTGAAACAAAGTCCTATCCCACTGAAAGCCATGGGAGGGCATTTAGCCTTTTGGCTTCCTAATTTAGTCTGTTTCACCCCCCGTATTGAGAGTATACAGCGGTTAATTTGAAGGATTTTGCCCCCTCCCTCCATCTACAAAATCTCAATATGCACTCTCCCAAGATCCAAGTTTCATCCTGCAGAAACAATGAATGGAAGGCGTCAGGAGTAAGCATAATCAATTACCTTACAAGGGAGATTCTTCTCTTCCCTGAAATAATAGTTTGATAATCATAGGATTGCAGCCTAGATTATATTAATTGACTATGTTTACAACAAATAGCTTTCAGTGGGACAGGGAAGCCACTGGTTCCATTTTGACATTTGTAAACATTTAACCTAACACCTCAATTTCTCTTTCAATTATGAAAGGATTGCAAAATATCTTCAAAATGTCATTGAAAAATAAACCCCTTTAACCTGTCAGTCACTCATTCACTCTCTCTGATGGGAGAAGGGGAGGTAGGAGAAATGCTAAGGGCCTGTGGAGACAAGCTATTCTTTCCAGCAACCCAATAAATATATACATTTATTTGATTTACTATATTCTGCCTTTCCCCCAGATTCACAAGGCGGCTATGAAATAGGATACAAGGTGGCTTACATTCAAACCTGCATCACAATGTGAGCTGAGCTTGTGACCAGAGTGGAAGAGGTGGAATTCTGGTCTGAAGCATCCTGTTCAGTCCATGGGACACTCCTGTATATGTCTGTATAGAGCGTGTGTGCATGCACATGTGTGTGTATGAATCGTACATAAGCATAGCTGCATATCATATATGCAATACACAAAATGGTACCTATATAGCAAGGAGCAAACAAAACAAAACAACAAAACAAAAAACTAAGAAACCAGCACAACACTGGCACTGATTCTGCAGCAAAAATATAAATGTGTAAGAAGAACTATGCCTACAGATAAAGCTTCCACTTCTGGCAATGCAGCTGGGTAAGAACAAAATACATTTTTCTTTATATCAAAAACATATTTTGTTTTCTGAATTTCATTTTTTTTCTGTCCAAATTACATGCTTGATGATAGAAAACCTTTTGTTGAAGGAACCTGTAGAAAAATCAGATTTATGCATCTATGTTTTGTCCAAATCTTAGAAACTAATCTTTCCTTGGGAGAGCTTTGCAGAGCTGATTCCTTAAGTACAGCTCAGAGAAGTTCCTAAGTCTTGAGACCAAAGAAACTGTTCAGTTCCTTAGCTCATCTGACAAAGTACAGTGACATTTCCAGTCCATGCATTAGCAGAGCCCTTTTACATGCTTCTTTTTGCAAATCTTATTGAGACTACATTGCTTTGACTGCCTTCTGAAACCATAAGATGCAAAATTATTCAGGTACTGCCTTTTATTAAAGCAACTATTTATACATATTTCAAAGTTATTTAAAAGGATCAGCATGCAATTCAACAAAGATGATAAAGGGTACACAAAAATAACCCAGATTCATAATGCACTGATGCTCACATTTCAGATGCAAGTTTGTAAATCTACTATGCTAAAAGGAACGGAGATATAAAATATGAACTTTGAGTTAGCAAAGTTGATTTAGAAGATAACAGACAATATGTCCCATTTACTAAATGCACTGTCAAGCTTACAACATGTAGAGTCTTTATAAAACTAGCCAATATTTAATAGGTCTATGCCACAGTATTTGTATGCTCACAAAAAGTCCGCTATTAAATCAGAAGATAACAGAAAGTAATGTTTTCTAAATTTGCACTAGACAAAATTAGCACATCGCAAAGGGAATGTTGGAAATATTCTCTCTCTCTCTTCTTTTAAAATGAGATTCTGGATAAGGATAAAAAGAATTATAATTATACGTGCTACTATACAAACATGAAATACAAATAATAAATAAAGCCCCGAAAGTAACTGTTTCAGTAGTATTATGCCCAAAACTGAATACTGAAAAAATCAAGAGGATATACCTTGTGATCTTTCTTCTGCTCAGACCCTGTACAAAAGTCCAATCATTCAGGTAGATAACAAAATTAAAGGGGATGGTGGCATAATGTGCCACATTAAAGACCTTTTGTGAATCAAAATCCACTTTTTCAGACACAAATAAGTAGAAAAGAGAACTGTTACACAAAGGAAATTACAAGGAATTGAAGTTATATGGCAGGAAATGAAAAGAGAAATCAAAGTTAAGTTGCTGTTTTCTTTTTATTTGTCAACAAACTGAAATAGACTAGAATGGTAAACTCTTTCAGGAAGGTCCTTCAAACCCTGACAAGATGTTTGCGGGGCTGCTGACAGAGAAAGTGACCTATCAAAATTTTACCACCAATTCCATTTCCTTTCCTTCCATTTCTTCCAGATCCAGCCAATGAATGAAATATGTGACTGCAATATAATGCCAGAGAGGATAGGATTTCAATCAATATTGCACCGATTCTACAAATGGAACCTCTTCAAAAACTGACTCCTGAAGCAGGGTGAACTTCAAAGAACCAATATCCCAGTGCTGACAAAATTACGTGTCTAAAAGATTAGAACAGGATTTTGATATACAAATAGTGTAAAGAAATACATCTTGAAATCCAATTTGCTATGTTACATGTCATTGGGTTACTGCTAGCTTGATAACTTCTCACTGCATGGCTCTTCATGAAATTTCATTAACAATGCATGAATGAACACAATTCAATTGTATTTATCCAATGCCAAACAAGTACTGTACAAAACTGCATGGACTATATTAACCTACCCACTGTAATAATAAACTGAAGCTCTAAGAAAACCACATATCTATACAAGTGTGATTTTCTCCCACCTCCTCCACTAAATGATCACAGGTCACCTTCTACCGCAATCAGTACAGCACTTCCTAAGTTGCCTTATAGTTGATGTATGCACTTGATAGAAACTTTCTTTCTCATAGACCTTACTATCCCCCACCTCTTATATACTACCTTAAGGTGTAGGCATCTGTACGTTGAGAATAGTAAGGTTTTAGTCAGTAGAGATGCCCAAGCTGCTTTGCTACAGTTTAAATCTAAATTGTAACCTCTACTGTTGGTTATGTTCTA